ATCATTTCAGCGAAGTCAGAAATGATCACCTCTGCTCAAAGAAAACCCGACGGCCAGCTGGAGTCAGTAGATTTGCATTTCTCAGGACACAAATGGCTTATTTTAATGTCCAGAGAGTAACAGCAATGACAAATATAAGGCCAAATACAATACCACTGATTTAAACGGACCCAGTCAGATTTAAATTTAAACGCAAAAAAAAAAAAACACTTAACAAAACAGCAAATTTGAGAAATGTTCCATTTTGTGATATGAGGCTGAAGTGAGAGTGGGACATTTTGGAGCCCCAAAGTGTCACATTTTAATTCCTTTACACCTTTCTCGTTCCATTTAGAACAGCTTGGGTAAACATCAGAACTCATGCCAGGGCTGAGCTGTCTATCAGCCTGAAAACTGTCAACTGGTCCTCAGTGTTCAAGTCAAAGAAGTGCTAGGTACAGTGTAGCAAAGAACCAGCATTTGAAAAGACATGCATAAATTGAACAAAAACCTGATTAGACTGAAACCTCATAGGGAAACCACTGCCAAAGAATCCTTTACAAATGGCTTAATCAGCTATGAGTATGTGGGAGTATAGCAGCATTTTCAACACCCAAAATATGTCTTTCAAAGTAAGCCAAGCTTAGTAACATCCACTTCCATCACTCAATGTAGTACTGCAATTTCAGAGCCAGATTTTGACTATACTAGGCCACATTATTTAGCCCAAAAAAAAAAAAGTTCCAAGACTGACAGCGAGACCGAATTATGAATGTACAAAGCGCTCCTCAGAGATAGAAACCTGACGCTGTCAAGACCAGCACTGTGGAGGAAAAGAGGGAAATCTCCCAGATGACTGATACTTTGCACATATATTTTCATTTTTAAAGCAAATATCAATCTCCGACTGAACAGGCAGTAAAGGTTAGGTATTTATGAGCTCACTTGGGAGTGTGGCAGATACAAAGGCCCAACTGTGGGCGGCAAGAAATTTGCCAGTCTTTATGCATTGAGGGTTAGTTGAGTCCTTAATACAATGTAAATAGGCTTTAGAGCTTTACTTTATGACACATTTACAGCTAAAATTAAAAAGCCATGTTTCATCATGCCCTCTAAAAAGAGAAATGTAGCGTATCCTGGCACATTACATTGGGCAGGCAAGGGAAAGTAATTATTTGATAAGTGTTGGCAGACGTCTGATCGCTTAGATAATCATGGCAGCTCATTTCCTATTATATTCACTGCAGACCTTTTGGCCTGTGATGTATATTACCATTAGCATTTTTCAGGCCAAGGACCAGAAAGAAGAAGGTGGAGAAAGGTGGAATAGACTTATCCAAATGTATCCACAAGCCATATAAAGATTGCGATTACTAAATACTGACAAAATTAAACAGATGCTGGTATCCACTTTGGATGATGAAAAATAATAAAATGTAATTTGTATTTTTTTAAACAAGCCATACGAACACTGTGAAAACAATAAATAAATAAGAAAAAAGATGATATCTGTCCAATTGTATGGATAAATATAATTGAGTTAATTAAGCAAACTGCCACCTAGACTACAATAATATTCTGCATTACTCTGATGTCCCTCCATATTTTTTATCAAGATAACAAGATCTTGATTTTCCCATCCATTTTGGGTGAAAATAAAATTAAATAAAATAAAAAATAAAGGCATGTAATGTGAAAGACATTTTTATAACATAAAAAAAAAAACATTGCAACAATGTTTCAAAAAGCAGGTTGCAAAAACAAGAACAATGATGTTCTAATCACTCTGATGTCACTGAAGCTGGATAATGAAACTGAATGGCTATAAACTCAGTCTATAAACCAGTTACTCCACCACAAACCAAAACTAATAATATTCTGCATTACTCTGATGTCCCTCCATATTTTTTATCAAGATAACAAGACCTGGATTTTCCCATCCATTTTGGGTGAAAATAAAATAAAATAAAATAAAAAATAAAGGCATGTATTGTGAAAGACATTTTTATAACATTAAAAAAAAAACATTGCAACAATGTTTCAAAAAGCAGGTTGCAAAAACAAGAACAATGATGTTCTAATCACTCTGATGTCACTGAAGCTGGATAATGAAACTGAATGGCTATAAACTCAGTCTATAAACCAGTTACTCCACCACAAACCAAAACAGAGAGACACAGACTAAGATCTTGAATCACACCATCACTAAAGACAAGTGAAAATACACAGATCATTCTCTGAGCTCATATCCAAGACCTAAACATCCAACTCTGACAGATGACTTACGCAAAAGATAGGGTAATAGAGAGCAATTACTCAAAGTGTTAAAACTGCTGGTAGGCTATATAATTCTCCCCACATTCTGTTTAATAAACAAGACAAGCCAAGTTTTTTAATCCAGCCAAAATTCTAAATTTAAAGATAAAATGCACAGTAATTTCTTGTGTTTGACACCTCAGATTTAAAGATTTATAACTCTGCAGAAAGAGCAGAGGAAAAAATACAACTTGTGATATAATACACACAAGCATTTCACATTAAATGAAGATTTATAAAGTCATACCAACAAAAAGCGAACAGTTCACAAGAGTTGCGTGGGTTTCATAAAGTTGGAACATGTGGTTGGATGGGCATTCCTTCAACATCTATGAATGATTTTTTTTAAAGACGGGAGCCTTGAAGATTGAGTAACTACTGTACACTTGAAGACCAGATTAAACCAATGAGTTTTACTTCGACGAGTCAAATCCTCCCTCGTAGGCTTTTCTTGGAGGCAAAGTGGCTTTAGTGTCAACATCCAGTCTGGCAGTATAATGCACTGATAGAGTTCCACCCCAGTGATTTATAATCTACCAACTATTATTAAAACCAAAGACTGGATCACGGAAGCCGTCTGTTTCCATTTTGCCAACCACTCTCAAAAATATGACACAGCCAGATATATGTAGCGTAGTGTCTATAAAACTCCATCTGAAAAGGTTTACATTTTGTGACAAAATATCCACGGATACTATCAAGAACAGATGGGAAAACTCTATTGCATTTATATCGACAAGGTGAAGTAAGCCACATATTGACAAAAAACTCATCCATCAGCTAAAAGGTCAAACTAACTCTAAGCCAAAACATAAAATGGGGTTCATGTCTCCCATCCTAAAGTACAGACATCCCGGCACAAAGCGGGAATCTGGAAAGAAATCTATTCAATCCACAGCACCAATGGTCTTAGTCAGTGCTTTAAGTTATAAATGAGGAGCAATTGTTAAAATTCCCCTCTGACAACTCAATGCAGAAAACTCTGCATGTCATGGACTACAGACACTCTATAACATTGAAGTCATAGTATCAAAGATATATTACTTGATTTGCTAGCAGGTTGTTGCTTTGTCAGTAAAATTGGTCAAACATGGCGATATACTGTAGTATAATGTAACTTAATCTGACAATTCAACTGAAATATTTTTAGCTGAAGTAATTCATGCTTAAGTTGAAATCTGATGAGCGCTTAATACAAGCTACATTTGTAAACTAAGTTTAACTGTTAGTTTGCTTATTTAAAAAAAAATTCTTCAAATGTTAACACACACCAGTTATCAGAATTACCTCCAGAAGTGGTATATATGAAGTGGACATGAACATAAAATGTAATAATAATAATATATATATATATATATATATATATATATGCTCAGACACTTAGCCTT